CTGAAATTGACTGCCGCTTTCGTCACTGTATGGCATGATGTCATTAAGCCGTCCGTCCGTCACATGATCCATGTGACTTATCTCCACCAAAGGGAGATAATCGCCTTCTGGATCCTTACACTACTGCCGTTATTAAGCAATGAAAAATTCGAACTCGCAGCCTTTATCCTTGGTAGACTGACATCCTGTAGTAACGGGAAACACATTAGGCTATGAAAGCTAACCCAATAAGAGTCATTCAAATTGTGCTATTGTTCTTTGTGCTTCTAGAAAATGTAAGAACTGGATAAAGAGATGTATCCATTTTCACATATTAAAGAAAAAGTAAATAAAATGGTTAAGAATGGCGAGTGAAGTCTGTGGATCTTGATGAAGACTAACATTTTTAGAACCTGGCATGACAGAATAACAAAGAATTGTACCAAATAAGAGAAAACACATCACTTGAGGACTTTCAACACTAGTAACACCTAAAATGGACGTCATATTTAAATCAAAGAGAAAATAATGACATAATCAATATATTAACTCTAGAAGTAAAAGAATGTGTTTCATTTGTTTATTGACTCTAAAAATAAAAGAATGTGTTCATGTGTTTATTTTTAGACGTCGACTTCAGTATCCTGATTTCCAAGGATACTATTATTTTAGTTATAAACTAAACAGATTAGTCTGGTACAAGGCTATACGTTTAGGGGTATCTAGCCAAAATCGAACTCAATCATGATAATAGTCCGATACACTAGCTTGAACAAGGTCACCCGATGAGGACTGAACTAAATTTGGATGACTTCTTTTACATGCCATGTCCTTTTAGGACGTAGGCAATCTTGACTCTCCACAACTTCCTATATTTAGTATAAGAAAAAAGAAAACTGTACAAAGAATAAGCTGCTCTAGAGGTAGTTTCGCCTAAAACTGCAAATTGTTAAAAAACCAAAACATTTACCTAAAAAATCGAGCCATGTTCTCGTCAGATCAAAACTGTCATATAGATGCCATACTTGGCGCCAAACTCGTTCATTATCTAAATTGTCTGCTGTATACAACTGCTTTCTTACATCAATGGTTAAAAATGGTGAGTGAATCCGATGGACCACACTTCTTTGAACCTTGTGAAAGGGCGCGAAACAATCACAAAGAACTGTACAAGGTAACAACTTGTTATCTACGCTGATGACACAGTTTATTCCTGCCTCGATAGTAAGGCTTATCAGTCTGACAAGGTCAAAATGGTAGCTGATGTCCAAAACTACCTTCATATGCTAATATGAAGTGGAAAGACTATATTGAATCTATTTCTAGGTCATCTGCTAAAAAAGTCGGTTCACTCTGTCGGGCGAGACAAGTTTTTTTCCCCAGAATCTGTTTTACATATCTATGAGTCTACCATTCGTCTATGCTTAGAATACTGATGCCACCCATGATCTGGTGCACCTGCTATTTACCTTGAGATCCTTGATAAAATCCAAAGAAGAATCTGCAATGTTATTGGTCCTGATCTGGCAGCTCTGCTACAGTCACTCTCTCATCGCCATATGGGTGCCTCTCTATGTTTTTTTTTTATAAATACTTTCATGGTATTTGCTCTTCGCTATGATACCTAGAGTTTTTGAATTTAAACATAGCACTAGATTGGCGTCGACATTTCATTAATTTACAGTCGAGTTGGCTAGATGTAGCTGTAAATTCTATGCTTCTCTTGCACTTCTGGAACTCCCTCCCGGCTCCATGCTTTCCAGTCAACTTTAATCTGCAAAAAATCAAATTCAATGTTAATCGTTATCTACTGTCCACCTCTCTCTTCTCTTTCTGCTCGTCATTATTGTTACTGTTCCTAATTCTTCTACACTTTGTAACCCCGTGTGTTTTGGTGGCATGGAGGTGATTCCGATTAAAAAAGAAAAGAAAAATGAAACGACATCACTTGAGGACTTTCAACAGCTAAAATGGACATCACATGTAACTCGAAGAGTAATGACATAATCAAGATGTTGACGTTCCACACTACTTAAAACAAAAGTTTAGGATGGAAACTTCCATCAATGTTGAAAAGGGCTAGTGGATTTGAGAAATCTATTTTTCTTGAAAACAAAAATTAAATTTCAACCGACAGTAATACAAGCTGTAGTACAATCAAATTTGAGTGTTTCCTTATAAGGAAACAGCTAATATTTCCATTAACATTAGCATTTTGTACCTACACACGTTCCACCACTCAGTCACACACTTATGTTCGATGTCCCTAATACTATTTTTTTGCTTGTAGCGAACAGTCGCTGGATAACGGTCAGAAGATACCTGTCGCTCATATTTTTTCTTACCGTCAGGAGTCAGTCACAAGGAGCTTGTCTCCTTTTACGCTTTTATCCTTTATATTCCTTCTGGGTGACGCTACGAGATCGTTATGCTAACAATGTTAACAGCGCCGTGAGGTCACCGTTTTTCTCTGTGTTGACGTGTTGATAATTCATGTCAGAAATGCCATTACTTGCTTGAAAAGCGTAAAAACATTTTTCCATTGCATTATTGTCCGCTAATCTCGATTGTTTTATTCTTTAGTTTTATCAAATACTCATTGCTATTTTGATCTTAGTCTGCATATATGTTTGGATTTGTTATATGAGATCTGAGGATTGCCAAAGTAAATGTGATTATTTTTAGCCTTTTCACATGGTCAAAATGTCAGAACTTGATAATTTTCGTTTCAAGCTGCTTTTAGTCGTGTCTGCTAAAAGTGACCTTAATGGCAAAAGAAATCGTGAAAATGCTGACACGGAATATGGAACAGAGAAATACCGCAAGCGTTTCACTTGTGACTTAAATGTAATATAATATGCGTTAGCAGGTCCGGTTTGAGATTACAGTTGTCATTTGAAATGTCGTCTTAATTTGAATCACCACTCAGAAGAAATGTATTTTTTTCAAATATTTAACAAATGTAAGAAGACTTTGACTGTGAGTTTTATAACATATTTAACATTTTTTCCATATAAAAAAACGTCTGAGATGATTGGAAGCGACAGTCCGAGATCAAATTGAGGCGTTCACTTCGGGCTAATGCCTTAAAAAAAAAAAAAAAGACACGAATTCCCCTTCCCTCTTACACAATTTCCTTTTCTTCAATCAGTCAGTTATGTGCCATGCGTGATACACGCGTAGGCGATCATGAATCTTTCGATGCATGACTGACGAAGCAGATTTTTTCCCGCAGTAGGTTGTCATTTCTTTCTGCGGTAGACCAGTTGCCATCCAAGGCTATAGAACTCGGGCTTCTTCTCCCCCACCATAGCTGGTGGGGGAGAAGAAGAGGATTTATACCTTTCCCAAGGGTATTAGTACGTAAGTGAATGTAATGGATTCGACTGGAATTCCATACTTCAATAACTATAGATATTGCATCTCTATGTTCTTGGGAAATGGTACTTCCCCTACAGTATTTTCCTTCTCATAGATTGTTTACTAATCAAGGCTACTATTAACCTAAACTTAGGGGGAGGGGAAAAATAGAATTTATGCTTTTTTTTTTTTTTTTAAGGTATCAACGCGAAGTGAACACCTCAGCCGGGATTTGATCTCGGACTGTCGCTTCTATTTTTTGAGTCGATAAAGATTATGCTATCCACGTATCCTACTTGAAACAATACTTTTTTTTCTAAAAGAAAAGGAATCTTGGGCATTTCACTGTGGAGCAATTGTTAGCAATCTGTCTTCACAGACACCTTTCCCCCTCACTTATAACTTTGTGTTAGACTCAACTAACTTAGAGGTAAATAACTACCGAATTATCAACCTCGATTTTCAGATTAACTCAATAGTGGAGCGAATTCGACTATTACTTGATATCTGGCAGTAGTGCGGTCGTGTAAGGCTGAGGAAAGCTTAATAAAACAAAGCACAATGAAAGTGAGTGAAAACTTGTTTTCTCCCCTTTTAACTCTTAAGATACTTTTTCTAGTCATTTTATGAGTAGCACTTAACCGCAATACACAATGTCTTAAATCTGGAATTATTATTGTAGGGATGTAGCACTTTGGCTGATAAGCGTTTGGTGCATCTTTCACTTATCGGTTGCAAACTACACGCTCTGTGATCGCATTCAACGTTTTCTTATAATGTTTTAAGCAGAATGTGATTCCATTGCTGCTTAGTGATATGAGATAACTTAAACAGGATTTGATAATTGGCAAATTATTCAATTCATTTTCGCCACACCGTTGTTTATACACTTTCACACAGAAACAGAATGTAACCCATAGCTTCTTTTTATTGTGGAAATTCTACGCGTATTTTTTTTCAAAAAAGGAGTCGGTCTTTAGTCGGGATCATCGAGTCAATGCGAACAATCCTTTCCTTAGTTGCATAGTATGTACTTCGACAGGGTTACATACAGTTTTGAATTCAGAGTTTTCCTTCTCCTAGACCGGTTACCACGCAAGGCTATAGAACCCAGTCTGTCCTACTATTTACCCATGGCTAGTGGGAAAAGAGTTGAATTCATACCTTTCCAGAGGTTAATAGCACGTAAATGAATGTAATGAACTCGACTGGAATTCGAACTCGGCCCTCCGATTCTTTAATCCATCACTCTACTGTACCTAAAAAAAAAAGAGACAAAAATAGTCCAATTCGCTCGGTTTTACTGTTTCCATATCTACTATGGGTTTCTAGTTTGGGCTACAACTAACAAACTACGATACATATGACTTCATTTTTTCACATTAGTAGCCCAAGTTCTTAAACCACCCGTGAAAGTCCGTTGTTGGACGTAGGCCTTCCCACTAGATTCCCTACTACGCTGGCCTAATGCATGTTGGTCGGGGAGGGATGTGACACGCTTGGGTGATCATCTCATGATCGCACAAGGCTATTTACGCGCAAGTGAATGTAACAATTCCGATCTCAATTCTGTGACGCATTCATCAATTCACTTTTATATTTCTACCTGAAGGCTCTCCGATTTCTCATTCTGATCCATTTCACCGCCCACACACCCAAGTTTACAGTAACCAGCATCCCCAAACGGTCACCCATCTAGGTACTGACCAGACTTTAAGTTGCTTAACTTTGGTGATCAGAAGAGAACTAGTGTTTCAGTGTGATATGGCTATAAGCTCTAAGTTGGCTTAGCTTATTAAAATAGTAGCAGAAATATCACAAGTTGCGAAATTCAGAATTTAGTAGCAATGAACTTTCAGATGTTGTCCAATCACACAATTCTGTGATGCATTCATCAATTCACTTTTATATTTCTACCTGAAGGCATGGATTTCTGGAACTAAACATCAACACTGAATATTCCTGGTCACAAATGACCAAGGATTGATATGTTTTTTATATTTTATTCGCTCTGTCAAGGAACACATTTTCTGACCAGCTATTTCTTTTATCGTTTTATACATGCCGGCTAAGTGAACGTTTCGTAGTGTTTATATCTCTGTGCAATTATCATACCACATAACTTTTTAAAAGTAAAAAAAAAATTGTCTGGAGTTCTTATTTCACATATTACTATTGATTAAGCACTCCAACTTACGATATATAAAAATCAAAAACAAAAATACTTATTTTAAAAGTTTTAAGAAATTACATATTAGGAACATATTTTTTTTTTCAATAGATCAATTTACAATGAATTTACTGTTGTGGTGTCCTCCCTCTAAAGAGTCTGTTAGACTCTTACGCCTACTATAAGTTTAGTAGGAGAGAAGGTTCGGAGAAGCGTGAATAGATTGAGCGCTAGTTCATTCGATACACTCTCACTAGTCGTGTAATACTCTTCTGGTGTACTTAACCATTTACTTGGTAACAACATTTACATTCCAACCAGCACTTATTAATTTTTTAAAAAAATTAATAAAATATTTTTATACTCGTGGTTTGGAGGGTAGAATGAACAATTTTTAATATGAAAACAATTTATTTTTTGGTTGAAGTTCCTATTTAACAACGCCAACGAAATTATTTGCCTTAAATTTTGCATCGAAGGCAGAAGAAATTTATCTCCCTTCTGGTTTGACCGTAATGACATAACTGTGAATAAAATTTGTTGCTGTTCATTTTTCCCTATGGAAACATTTAAGTTAGCTAGAAGTGAAAACTGCTTGGTTATTGCATGTTTAAGATTAGTATTAATACTGTTGCTGTTATTATTATTATTGTTATTATTACTACAACTACTATTACTACTACAACTACTACGACATTTATCTAAACTAGAAAATCCCATAAAAATTTCACGGTTTTCCTATTTTAATTTTCTGATGAATCTTAATTCTTAAATTAATGATTGAATAAGTTCACGACTTGTTTTTGACATTAAAATATCCGTAGAAATTCTATCACATTGTTAAATATTTGAGCTTAACAATTTCAACAAAATATTGCTATAAGAATCATGAACATGAATGCTGGTCGTTATTTTAAGAAGTGGGTACAAATGAAAAGATTTGATATTGACAACTTTTTCATTTCACTGAAACAGCCGTTAAACACTTCTATTTTCTCTTCTTTCTTTCTTTCTTTCTTTCTTTCTTTCTTTCTTTCTTTCTTTCATTTTCTCACTGAAACTAAGTAGCGTCTCTGATATGTCTTTTGCAATGCAACAAAACGGAATAGTCCATCATTCATGAGTTATTGACAAGAGACGTTAAACACTTCAATCTTCCTTTTATTTCTTTTTCTCACTGAAACCAGGTAGTGTCTTTTCCCTTCGTTCCACACGATCAAAACGGAATAGTTCATTATTTATGAGGTATTGGCAGGACGTAACGGTTGTACGAACTAAGGAACTAACGGGAGGAGGGACAAACACAATTTTTATATGATATTTTTACTGTGTTGTCTGCAACAGAAAAATAATTACAATTAAGTTCAGATAGTGAAAGACATGTCATCTCAATAGAACACAACTAATTATTTAATCAAAATATGACACTGCATGACAATTCGAATTGTATCTTCATTGCTTCTACTGATGCCAGTTGATATTTGATGAGCTCGGTGTAGGTTTTCTTCTTTCAATTGATTCCCAACACTGCAAGATCACAAAGTCTTGAATTGTGTATATTTACTAATAATTTAAAGAAGACGTTTAACAATCTGGCTATCTAAGTGCTGCCCCCCCCTTGTTAGTCAATGGCAGATCATAGATCTGCAGATACTTTGGTTCATTATCCGCAGATGTTTTATCTGACTTTAATGGAAACTACTTAGTGATTCTGCCTTCAGCAGGCGCCCGACGCACTTACTATACCTTAAGATACACCACTGCAAAAGTCCCTTGATCACTATCTCATCCCAAGGAGGTAATTAGTTTTGCTTGTGATATCATACTTAGTACGAAAAACAAAAACAACGCTTTTTTCCTGCATTTTTTCTTGAGAAATAATCTTCGTAACATTTACAATATGTTTATTGTATGAGTAATACTTCAAAGTTGGATATGCCGGAAGTCGATAGAAGAAATCAAAAGTTATTTTCTCGCCATCAAAACTGAAGTGACGTAGAGTATTTGTTTCCGGAAACCAAAAATATTCGGAAAGCAGGAAGTTGTTGAAGAGGAGAGTTTTTTTTTTTTTTTTTTTTTTTTCGAATAACAATTACATCTGTGTTTTCAGTTCGAACTTGAAGCACCCGGCTTATGTAGAAAATATTGCAACATGCTGAGCGTCGAGCGTCGATACCATTTGATATTAGTATCGATTTATAGGAAATGATACATGTATACCAATAATCTGATTGAATAGCAAAAGATAAATGTCTGTTTAGACTGAAACTATCCTAAGTTTAAAAGTCAACATCTTAAAAGTTGATCCCAAGTTATTTCTCATTTTTAAATTGGATATTCTGGAGCTTGTATTTCTAATATAATGATTTGCAAATAACGGTAGAGTTGACTATTTACATTATTCGGACTATTGTCCTCATCTTTGTCGCCATGTTTATTACAACGTTTCGGCCGTTGTACACTCTGGCCTTCTTCAGGTGGTTGGAATGTCGAAGTGAACCCTTTATTTCGTTCACTGGGGTAGACTGTTCTAGTTCCACGTGCCATGTTTAATGGATATCAGTTATCAGTTATCTCCTGTTAATTCCCCTCTTTAAGTTCTCCACTGCCTTAACCGGGTATTGAACTCACACTGTTTGGGTCATATCACTGGATCTAACCAACGCCTTTATCCATTGTGCCATGTGTCCTTGAGGAGAGGAATTAAATTAGTCCGAATAGTGTACATATTACCTCATCTCATAAATATTGACAAACGTTAGAGTTTTCAGTGCTGGAAGTTGAGGCGGCGAACAAAGTTCAAATCCCGTTCTCGTCTGCCGTGTTAATTTCCGTACTATGTCTTTGGGGTTTGTTTTATGGCATATCAATTTATTTAATACCAACAATTTTATATATATATATATATATATATATATATATATATATATATGGGAGGCACGGTGGAGTAATGGTTATTTGGACGTCGAAACGAAGATGCATTTTGTTGCGGCAACTTGCAGGTCCCAATATAACATTCTTCGTAGTATATATATATATATATATATATATATATATATAAACTTTGTTTTATCGTTATTCTCTCTTGTTTTATATTTTCTTGTAGAGGCCAACCACTTTTCGAAATGATAGTATGTCATCCACATTTACCTTCTCCAACCGCTCAAACATGCTATCAGTATTGTAAAATTGCTGTCTTGTGATAGCCAGTTCTGGGCACTCTGTCAAAATATGCTTAATGGACAATGCTGTTTTACATGTTTGGCACACCGGTTGAACTTCCTTAGTTAGAAGGAAAGAATGTGTCATTCTCGTATGGCCGATGCGCAAGCTATGTCTTTGGGAAAAGCATTAATATATTTCTTACGTATTCATCCACGTATGGGTAAATAGCAAAGTAGACTTTTTTCTCTAGCCTTGTATGGTACTCATTCTAAAAGTATAACTATTCTGAATTCATCACTTTGGAGAAGGCAACTGGAAACTACTCTTGAATCTCAGCCGCAAAAACAAAAAAAACAAAAAAAAAACAAAAAAAAAAAAACACAAATCATGACAATTCACAGATAAGGAAAAGAAATCTTCTGAGTGTCATTATCGCGTACATCCTGAAAGGAGAATGAAGATAATATGTTGGGGCATTTAGTTTAGGAAGATTGTGTTTTGTCAATATTATTTTAAAGATTTTGCCTGCCTCGAAAATCCAAACCTCTTTTATTTCAGACGAATAAACAACCAGAATCAAATTAACGTAGGTAACTTCATGAGATTGCTAAAAAAAACAGCATAGTCCGATGAAAAAGACGCCAAACTTGACGAAAACAAAATTTTATCATCTAAATGTTTATGCTATTATTAAGAGGAAAGACCGATATATTTTTGAATAAAAAATTTTTTTTTCCTTCTTTTTAGTACATTCTAAATTTTGATTAAAATCCTTGTTTCTCTTTGTTTCACCGGATCTAGTAAAATAATATAAATTTTTAGCACGTTTTTTCTTCGTATGACAGATATTAATTTGGAAAATCTTGCAAAAATAAAAATAATTGTTGGATGTTAATGAAACTTTCAGAAACTATTCACAAATGATCGAAATTATTATAAATATGTTTTCTTTTTTTAAAGTCATGGCAAAAATATGTTTTTAATGTTTATTACACCCCCACCATTACTAATTTTATGAAAACTCTAGAAATTTGATCGAATCCAGTTTAGTGATTATATTAGTTAAAAGCAAAAGGCTTTGAGAAAAGCAAATCATGTATTTTTTTAATTGCCGCCCCCCATGCCTGAAAATTAGCTCTGAATTGTAACATACAAAACTCAATAAAACAAGGAGATTATTTAATTTCAAATGCTTTTATTTGCTTTTAGTTGTTTTTATGAATATGGACAGTATTTTCTTAAAGCAAATTTTTTTCGATGAAAAATGAATTTTTAATACAATTATTTGTTATTTCTTTAATTATTTTAGATTTTTACATTTAAGTTGTTAAAATATTATAAAATTAGTTGAAAGGCGCATTCGGTTTCGTAAATGTTCTCATGAGATAGATCATTTTTTACAACATTGTAAATTGTATCGGTTTGACCAATCAGAA